CCAAACAGCTTTATTTCATTCAGTACTAAATCATTCAGAGGGTTAAAATGGTAATTTTACTGTCATTCAGAGAACAGTTACCAAACAACATTATTTCATTCAGCACTTAACCATTCTGACCCTCTTAACCATTCTGACCTCTTAACTATTCTGCATAAATCATTCAGCAACTGCCAAACAGCCCCTAAGACAGTGGGACGATTTTGCACGTTAGTATCGCTGCAGACTTCCACCAGAGTTTCCTCTGGCTTCGGGACAATTTATGTTTTAATCACCATTTTTCCTTAATTTAAATTGTAATTATAATTTAAATAATTTAATTTTGAAAAAAAATATATATATTCCTTAATTCAAAGGCCCGAGCCCAAAAGAGGCAAATCAATCAAGGCCACACGATTTGATAACATCAACGGTTAACACAAAACTCACGTGTCACAATGTCATTTGTCGATATCATGTTTGCGTTAGGATTAGGTTTTCTTCGCATATCTTCATCTGTTCTTACAGATTTTTGTTTTTAGAATCTCGATCGTAAAAATCAATCGAAAGCTTCTTGTGAAATTTCTGTATCCGGTTATGGAGATGGAGCGCGTTACCGAGTTTCCTTTGGGTCCTGTGGATCTCCGGCCAAGAAAACGGCAGCGACTTGGTTGGGATGTTGGTCCTCAGGTTACTAAGGTATCAGATCTGGTTGTTTTCTATTGATTTCTCTAATTCTTTGTGTTGTTCGTATTTTATTTTGATAGATTTTATCGAAATTGGAGTCGTGGGTTCAGGTAAGGGTAAAAGAAACTTGGTGTGTGATGATTGATTGTATCTATGATTCTTATGAGATCTGCGATGATTTCTTTCAGATTCTGTTGCCTGTGGTGTTAATTCTTTTCTCCTGTAAATATTATAATTTTCTCGTGTTTTTTATGTTGTGAATTGTGAATTGGGGTTGGGATTAACTTCATCGTCATATTATCTGTAATTTATAATGATTGCGATTAATTTTTCTTTCGATCTTCATATATAAGATTGCTTTTTAGATGATCTTACTGAATTTTACAAATCTAGGATTGTAAGTAGCTATGAATCCGATGCGTCATATGTTGAAGCAACATCGCTCAGAAATCACTGTTTCGATTGTGAAGACTTTATTTATACCTAAGAGAATATAAAAAACTTGTTGGAGAGTAATAGGTATGAGTAAATTAGTGGAAAATGGAGAATACTTTTACTAATGGTGATGAAGTTTAGATTTTAATTGTTTTTAAAATGGTTTTATTGTATGCCATCCAATTGAATTTTTGTATGTTAATGATCTTGTGGTTATTGTACTGACCATATTGAAGATTTTCTTAATTCGTGATACTTGGTATAAGTTTTTTCATTAAGATATTCTTGGTAAGGGAAAGCGACTATTTATATTGAAAGGAACATGAATGGATGCCTGTGTGTAGGCTCAGCTAGGATTGTTTTGTGGACAAGATGTTGGAAATGTTGCCAGCTTTGCACCTGCATGGGCGCCCTCGGACTCTATTAGTTCAACCCTTGTTAAGCATGGTGGTCGAAATGGTTCTCCGCCATGGCGCAAAGATGATAAAGATGGGCATTATGTGTTTGCAGTTGGAGATAATTTAACTTCTCGCTGTAACTACCTTTTACACCATCAGATAGTTTTTATATTATTGATTGTTGGTGATTATTTGCATGCGATGTTATATACTTGATAAAACATATTATGAGTTTTGACATATTATTTAATCAAATTGGTTGCCCTTTTTGCTTTGTCCATTTCAAAATTTATGGATTATTTAAGTTTCTTTTGGATCAAGTGTTGTTCTTTTTTCATAATCAACAGTTTATTAGCATTATTTTAAACTATTTGGTAGCCCTCCTGTTTGAGTTTATACATTTTTTCCCGGAAGTTGCTAGTTTCTTCAGTGTAATAAGTAGGTGAAACCTTGTTGATTGGCTTTCAGATATCGTTGCTATTCTTCTAATAAATTCTGATTGTTCTTTTTTGTCTGTTTTTTCTGTAACTTGCAGATAAGATTCATGGGAAAATGGGAGAAGGTGAGTACTCTTGCTAGTATAACTAATTGTGTGTAATTGTTGTAATGTGTCTAATTAATCGATATTTGTTCCGTTCAGGTACATTTGGCCAAGTGTTAGAATGCTGGGACAAGGAAAGGGAGGAAATGGTTGCTGTTAAAATTGTCCGAGGGATAAAGAAATACCGTGAGGCAGCTATGATAGAAATTGATGTGCTTCAACAGCTTGGTAAACATGATAAAGGTGGCAATCGGTGAGTAACATATTAAATTGGTCTTTGCCTTCTGCAATGTCATATTTGAAATCATGCCTGTGTTATGGGTTTGTGTTGTTAAATTGGTTTATTTCTTGCAGTTGTGTGCAAATAAGGAACTGGTTTGACTATCGTAACCATATCTGTATCGTAAGTATAAATATGATTTATTTGGGTGATTTGTTTCCCCAATTTGATAAATGTTTTGGGGTAAAAACTCTGGATGGATTGCATGGTCTTAACAGGTTTTTGAGAAGCTTGGACCAAGCTTATATGATTTTCTACGCAAAAACAATTATCGCTCATTTCCCATTGATCTAGTTCGCGAAATTGGCCGACAACTCTTGGAATGTATAGCATGTGTGTAGCAATCACTTGTTCTACCTTATTTATATATGTTATTTTATTCTTCTTTGTGTAGTCTTGATTGCAGTTTTTCAATAAAAGGATGCATCGACTTTTATACTTAAAAAAGGAAAAATAAAACCTCTTGAGGCAGTTACCTGTCTAAATTTGAATTAGACAATTAGATAATTAAATTCTTGTACTTAGGTGATAAACCGAATGGATTGATCAATTCTGTTGAATAAATTGCAGTTATGCATGATCTGCGCTTAATACACACCGACTTGAAGCCTGAGAATATCCTTCTAGTGTCTCCCGAATACGTCAAGGTTCTTGATTACAAGGTAAGGATGGTTGGGTTACACATTCCATGGTGACCGTATGGGTTTAGTTGTGCACTTATGCTGATGCCTTAACAGTAGCTGAGTTTTATCTTTTGTTTAGGGTTCATCAAGGTCTCCGAAAGATAGTTCTTACTCCAAAAGAGTTCCGAAGTCTAGTGCTATCAAGGTGATCGATTTTGGTAGCACGACATATGACCGTCATGGACAGAGCTATGTAGTGTCTACACGTCATTATCGTGCCCCGGAAGTTATCTTAGGTAGTACTTCATTTTGTTTTTTTTTGATAATTTCATTTCTGCAGCTTTCTTTCTTTGTTACGTATGTTGCTATCATCCTCCGAGTCCTGATTCGTGTTCTCAACAGGGCTTGGATGGAGTTATCCATGTGATATATGGAGTGTAGGTTGCATCCTGGTTGAGCTTTGCTCGGTAAGTTGACTCACCTTGTACGCCCCCGACCCAAAATAAGTGTCTAGATTGCTATTTTAGTTTGTGCCAAAATAAGCGTTTTCACTACTTCCTAATTACTCTATTGTTAAGTGTGAAATTGTCATTTAGTCAATTAAAAAATGTAATAGTTACGTATTTTTAGAACGGGGTCTTTTTCCATTGTGGACATTTATTTTGGGACAGGGTGTAGTAATTATGCTGCATTTAAGGATTGTTATTAAAAATCTATGTGGACAGGGTGAGGCGTTGTTCCAAACACACGAGAATTTGGAACATCTTGCAATGATGGAAATGGTCCTCGGTGCATTGCCTCAACACATGTTGAAGAAAGCAGAGTTAGTATTACCTTTCGTGAAACTATTTTTCGGGTCCGTCAATTTGTGTATTTTTATAACCGTATGGTTCTTTTTTCTTCAGCCGACATGCAGATAAGTATATAAGAAAGGGTAGGCTGGACTGGCCGGAGGGTGCCACCTCCAGAGGAAGCGTTGAAGCCGTTTTGAAACTACCTCGTCTTCAGGTTCTTCGACAAAAACATCTTTTTTTCTTTAGAGTGTGTTTGATACGTAGGACTGGACAAAACAAAAAATACTGGGACAGGACAAGATCGAGTGCTGAGTGTGTGACAGACGTTCTTTTTTTTAGTCCCATCGATATTTGCACAATACTGTGAAATTACCAACCTACCCATGCCAAATTAAAACTCTAAAACCTTCCGTAATTCTTTCACGTGCCTACCTCACTCTTGCCCGTCCTGTCTGGATGCCAAATGTACCCTAAGCGTATTTTTTACTTGTTCCTTCTAATTCTTGCGTTGCAAACCAGGGTCTTCATGTAAAGAGTCTCTACCCCTCGGGATAGAGGCTGCATTTGCGTTAGGTTTATTGGGTTAGTTCAGTTTGGTTAACTCGAGCTAACCAATCAGGTTCCCAATGCAGAACTTGATCATGCAACATGTAGACCATTCAGCGGGCGATCTCATTCATTTGTTACAAGGGCTTCTTAGGTACGATCCTTTGGACAGACTAACAGCACGTGAGAGTCTAAGACATCCGTTCTTCACCCGAGATAATCTTAGACGGTATTAAGCAGTTGGGCCCAAAACGTTCATGTTAGCCGCAGTTCTCTTGCAAGTTGCACATTTCTCGTGGGCAAGTAGCAAGTATATGCATTGACGTCCAGGTCAACTTCTCGAATGCACATAGTAAACCCCTTATGAAGGAGATGGTTCCGTGACCGATGGGTATTAATTCCGACACGATCCGAGCTGCTGAGATGGTTCAGACTCTATTGTCGGCACCAAGCACACGACAACAAACCGGTAAAATTCCCGTTGCGATCCTCGTGGTGTCGGGACCAGTAAATAGCAATTGTAATTTAATTTTTAATTTGCTTGATATGCAACAATACATGTGTTTTGGAAGGATAACATTGGTCGGTCTCCATTCAAGAAGTTGTGAATCTAATTGGTTTGTTCGTTATTTGATCGTTAAATCAAGTATTTGTATGGTCAACGATCGTTGAACCGATTGAAGTAGAATGCTTTCGTGTTTCTTTTGTTGTGTCGATGATGACTTCGAATGAAAGGTGTGTTCCATTTTCACCTTTCCAAGAACGATGAATGCTATTCCGCTCTTTACGAAGGATGCACAAAAGGGAATTTTGTGATCACAACTATGCACATTGAACGGAAACATTGCGATCATCAAAGGAGGACGGGTTTTTGGAGTTAGACTCATTGTTGCCAAAGGATGTAACCAAAGATACAAAGTAGCATGTGATATATACGAAGTTGTTGCCATAAGGCTCGAAAAATCTAATTACCGAACATAAATAAAAACAAACATGAGCGCCGAACTAGGGGCCGGTTGAACATGACAATGATCAAAAATCTTATTTAATAAAAACGATGATAAGGACCAATGGGTTGTTTGTTTACCTCTTAATAGTTTCATCTGAATTGTTAAGAGGTGAATCTTGTTTGACAAAAAAAAAGTATTTCTAAAACCAATGATTTTGTATCCTGAATCTTCTTTAATCATTAAGAGTCTTAATTTCATTGTATACAATTACCAAACAATTATATTTTATTTTACATTATATCATGAGAGTCTCTTAATAATTCTGCATCAAACAATTCAACAATTAACCAGCTCCAAAAATAAAAGAAGCAAAATATTGGTATTTTAGAATACCTTTTCTTCTTCTCTCTTCTCTCTCTCCTCCACTTCGAACCCGTGACCTTTTGGATTACAAACTGAAAGTTGAAAGCCATCAAGCCACATGGGAAGGAAGTGTTATTACCTTTGACAAATAATTATTTATTTATATATTAATGGTTAGGATAAGAAAAACCAATACAACTTCATAAGAATCCCATTTTTTCACCCTATTTTTAAACAAGTTTATAACTTTTATATCATTATTTATTGGGCAAATTGCATGAAAAATTAATGTATTTTAACTTGATTTCTATTTTGGGTAATGTATTTTTAAAACTTCTATTTCGGTACATAAAATGTAAAACTTTAAACATTTAAGTATCCGGATAACTGATTGAAACATTGACCGGTTACAATATTGATGTGGCGAGTGATGTGATATCCAACTCAGTATTATTTGCTGAAGCATTAATTAGATAGCACATCACTTGCCATATCAGCATGGTAACCGATTAATGCTTCAACCGGTTACCCGAGATACTTAAATGTTTAAAGTTTAACATCTTAGTTACCAAAATGAAAGTTTTGAAAATATGTTATTCAAAATAGTAATCAAGTTAAAGTACGTTACTTTTTCATGCACTTTGCCCTTATTTATTATATATCTGTATGCTAGAAAATACATCGGGTCGGTTATGGGTTTGAGGATCTGAAGGGTATTCCTGTTCTCGGTTAAACCAGATCTGTGTATCAGTTTAATTTCTCATCGGTTATACATATTTTTCAAGCTTCTAGTTCAGACAGTATTGATATTCTATGTTTCTTTCTTTATCTTTGAGTTTCTATCCGATGATGAGGACGTAATCCTGAACGTAAAGACTAACGTAATTTTTATTTATTTATTCTACATGTTTAACTAGGAAATGTGCAAGTAGTTTATGTAAAATAATCTATTAAAACACTTAAACATTTAGTGTTGTACAAACTAATTCTTTTTTGAAGTATATAATATTTATATACAGCAAATGCAACAAATAAACTCACATACACTCCTTACCTTTGGTGAGGTTTGAACTCCTGACCTCCTAGGATGACAAAAACTATGATACCGCTAGACCAAAGGCCCTTTGGTTTCTATAGACCAAAATTTGTTGCAGTGCGTTCTAATTAATAGATTTCCTTTCTTTCCGTTACTCTTTTGCCCCTTTTCCTAGTATATATTAATAACAAAACGGACTTTTTTCTTATCCTCAGCTTCAAATTTATGCTTAAACTAGCAAACCGATCATGAACCAAATTGTTTTAGTCAGTTCGGTTTATCAAACCAAGCCGTTAAAACCAGTAAAATGCGTTACAACTTAAGAAGAAAAAGTTCATATGCGAATTCTTGAAAATAATCCAATTGAAGATACATATATGAACCTATATGTGTAGCGTCAGATCAAACATGTACTTTTCAATAGTTTTTTTTGGATTTTTCAATGATTATATATATATATATATATATATATATGTATGATATATTTCAAATGCAACAATGTCCATTTGTACAACCAGTGCAACCTAATTAATTGAGATATTTATAGAAATGATGGGAGTTCATTTACTATGATTTGAATATTTATGGAAGATTAATAGAGTTCATTAATTATGACCAATACTTTATATTAAGAAACAATCAAAACTTCTATGAAATCACATATTAATCAAATTAAATCTACGGCTGAGATTAAGTTGTATTGATTGTACAAATGTAAAAGGTTGTATAATAACCCACCTCTAATAGACGGTTGAGATTGAGTTGTATTGGTTCTACAAATGTAAAGGGTTGTATTCATTTCTTACTTTTTGATGATATTTAACGTTTCTATTTGAAACTAACAAACCCTATTTGTTATATATAACTCAAAGAAAACGATGAGATCAAGGATGCATATGGCTTTTCATTCGAAGTTCCGAAAATTACAGATTAGGGTTTTCTCAAGATTTTAATCACTTCTTTTGTGTTACATTCCCCTTTCTCTTCTCCATGTAAAAAAACACAGCCAACGAAACAACCGAAAACACCGAGAAACAAACAGACGCGATATCAAGCGACACATGCCGGCCACTGATCGCTCGAATATCAAACAAGTCGGTAACCTTGCTAGCGTCGGTATTCTGGCCATAACCGACCTGCACTTGTCGTTCATCCAACGCATAAGCCCTCACGAAATACGTAGCCTTAGGGACGTCCGTCTCAATAGTCCAAGTGAAGGAATTGTTTGAAGGTGTATAGGGTTTTGCAACAATCTTGTGTTGGCATGTTTTGTCCTTGTTTAGATCGTCCACGGACTTCCGCCATGGTTTGTCCACCTGGCTAAGTGGCGCATAGCATAGCTTGACTCTTATGGTCTTGTAGGTTGAGTCTGTACCAGCTGGGAATGTTTGGTCGAATGCCCATTTCACTGTGAGTTGATCTTCACCAGCTTTTAGAACTGCAAGATTCAGACTTTTGATTATAAGAAATAGCAGTTTGAATCTTTTAACCGTAGGGTTTTGATGGGATCCGATGCATTAGTGTCGGTATGATAGCATTTAAAAGTTTGAATCTTTTAACCGTAAAGTTTTGATGGGATTCAATGCATTAGTGCCGGTATGATAACATTTAAAAGTTTCACTACAACAAAATTGGGTTTATAGGACATCTTCAATCTCTAAGCGTCCCAATAGACTATTTTATAGAACTTAATTTATAGGACTAAAATATAAAACGACCTATCTAAAGGTGTTGTAATAAGTTTATATGACGTTTTTGGGCCTCTTAACAAGTTTTTTTTGAACAATTTTTAATACAAAATGTCGCATTACCAACTTTATAGGACACTTTTGAGAAAGTGTCTTAATTCGGCTGAATGCTAAAACATGTATAATCAAGCTCCTGTTACCATCAACCCTAGATAGATCACGATGCACTACAAACAAAAGGATGTTTTTTTTTGTGTGTGTGTGTGTGTGTGTGAGAGAGAGAGAGAGAGAGAGAGAGAGAGAGAGAGAAACCATGGCCTTTTGGACTTGAAGCAGTGACTATAAGAGTTTTCTGAAGAGAAGAGAAGGTGACACCATAGCAAGCTGCTGCAAAACAAGAAAACAGAAGATAACCAACAACAAAACCACCACAAAACTCCATGGATATGATGATCACTTTCTTGAAGCTCAAAACTGAAACAGTGGTCGATTCGATCAGAAGGAACCTGAACCAAGACTCACACACTTCTGAGTTGCTATATATAGAACCCTATAAGTAGCATATGCTTATCAAATCAGACAATCATAACCAAAACCCTCAAGATATGTCTTAATTTCAAAAATAAGCATAAGTTAATGTCTTAATCCATGTGGAAATTAAGCCAATTTATTGTGCATATATATACATATAGAAAGAAAGAAGGATATGTTGGATATTATTTGGGGATGCTTTTGAGGGATTCAAAAACAGACAAATCCAACATAATCTATACCTATAAATTTGTCTTATTTAATAAGATGGCTCTTAAGCATACTCAAGGGGTCAAAATTTTGTGGGTTTTAAGCTTGTTGTGTTTGGAAGTTAGGGTTTGTGTCAAAATCAGGTGTTAAAACAAGTTTTTGGTCGTCCCGAAAAGCTTTGGAAAGGGCAAAAAGGAGAACAAGAAAACGGAATGATATGTGGAGAGAGGACGAAGGCCGTCTGATTGGAATAAGTCACTCGATTGCCATCTTGTAGTTGTAACTTGTGCGTATGAGATAAGTAATACGTAATCTTGTTCATATATAGAAAAAGGGTAAAGGATGATACGCCACACTCTCGGTACGAACATACTAAAATTGAGTTGGGATATGGATGAATAACCGAACTACGTTGAGGTTTTTGTATGTAACGGGGATGTGTGAATTAATACGTGGAACCCATTAATTAGATTACTTTTCAAAAAAGTCACTGAGAAGTGAAAAGAAGTCCCAACATATATAAGGGAGATATGATTCAAGCGTAGCCCGTTTGTGGGACTCTAAGGGGTTGTTTTGAATGGTTTAGTGCAAAATGATTAAGTTGTTATAATGATTAAGGGGCTCTCACGATATGATGCAATGTGAAATATAATTGTTTGGTAATTGTTTACAGTGAAATTAGGGCTCTGAATGGTTAAAGGAGGCTCACGATACAAAATCATTCAAAGGGTTTTGGAACCATTAAGAGGCAAAAAAAATTTGATAAACAAGATTCACCTCTTAATGATTCAGAAGTTTCCTCTTAATGGAACTATTGAGAGGTAACAAACAACCCCTAACATGCCCTTCAATGGAGGCTAGTCGAATACAAATTGTCTCATAGTGTCGAGAGGGGCTACGCGTATACAGATTGCCTCAGAGTGTATACAGGCTCTGATACCATATGAAAATATTTAAAGCTTCATTAGATTACTTTCCAAAAAAACTCTTTGAGGAGGAGAGAGAAGCGGATTTCAATGTATATAAAGATAAATGGTCAAAGTCTAGTTGACGTAGAACTTTAACAGGAGGCATGAAAACGCACCACGTGGAAACCTCCGGAGATCTGAGAAAGTTTCGAGCTTGTATTGATCACGTTTTCAAGATTCAAATGAAATTTATCCAATTAAGACTTTCGGTTTCTTTAAATGTTCCGTAGGAAATATTCGTACAATCAAAAGAAAGATCGATTTTTTGGAATCCTTTCTTTCTTCCTACGAAATGAAACCGTAATCTAACGGATCCCCAGTATCTTTTTGGATATTTCTCAATATTCTAGTTATTTACGAAACACGAGAAGTAAATTAAGCCTTTACTTTCAAAAAGTCGAAGAATTAGCAGAAATCCCAATAAGATTCACTCGCTCGATTTTTGTTCAGACAAATAGATTATCCAATTATAATAATATTAAAAAGACTAGTCGATTTTGGTAGAAGTCCATACCCCGATGACTTGCTATTGTCAACCATGTCCTATCTGTGACGTTGTCGATGTTCAAAGGATGTTCTACTTAGAGTTCTATTACAAAGTTTTATAGTTCTTATCAGTTGTTACATTTTGTAGATATACGTCACAAAACGTAATATCAGTTCAACCACAAGTACAAAAACCAATAAGTTTGTATTTGGAATGGTTAAATGTCGTGGTCTGTTTTCACGAGATCCATCTCGAGAAACGATTCACGAAAATATCTGCGATACTTAATGGTAGATATTCAATCAAGTTGGTGATTTATCAGCAACAAACACCAGTGAAAAGCAAATTAAATCACTTGCTAAACACAGTAATATTATAACTACAACAAATTTGAATCGTTAAAACCACCAGAATTGTTCTAATAGATTATAACAAAATACAATAATATATATGCGGATGATCGTGTCAGAAGGAAAGTAATGATTAGAAACGTAAGAAAAAAAATCTGAACTTTTGGTTACTTTTAATTTCATGTTCACTCATGAATTGCACTTTAGAAGGGAATTGATCTGGTGTATCTCGGTGTGCACCTCATTAGTGTTGACATTCGATTAGGATTGATCCAAATGTGAAAGTCTCTTCTTATGCTTCTCACTGAAACCCAACCTGGGGTTTGGTTCTAATGAGAATGAGAGTTAAGGCAAGAAGTGTAAGAAAAGATCTCTACCATTAGATGCACATTAGGATGAGATGCACCGAGATGAACCAGATCAATTCTCGTATCAAGGGTGATTCATGAGTGAGTTTGAGATTAAAGGTGATCAAGGGTCTAGATCGTTTTTTATGTCCCTCACCTTAACTCTTCTTCTCACAATATCTTTCGCATACAGGGGAGATATAAAATGCAAACCAAACTATTTGTACGAACCGTGAAAACCTTCGATTTCATTGTTTATTTTAGTGAAAAAAATTTCACGAAATTGTTTAATTTGATGAAATGTTTCAAATAATTCATTTCATGATAAAACTGTTTCATATAATTATTTATTTACTAAAATAAATAAAATGAAGATGATAATGCCATAATTATTTGAATTGAATTATTTGAAACAATTTCATGATATTAAATAATTTCATGAAATTCTTTCACTAAAATAAACGATGAAATCGACGATTTTCACGGTTTATTCAAATAGTTTGGTTTGCAAAATATCTCTCCCCTATACACACACACACACACACACACACACACACACATATATATATATATATATATATATAGAGAGAGAGAGAGAGAGAGGGGAGGGGGGTTCAATTGCAAATCGATTTTCAACTGTGAACTAAGGGACAAGGAGGAGCATGATACGTGTCCCCAGTGTCCATCAATATGAATAACAAAGGTGAAGTTCATGGACTATTCATAATGAATGATACAAATTTCATGATGAATAATACAACATTCATGATAAATAACCCACGATCACAATCCATATTAAATTGATTCACTAATAATAATGAATAGTACATATTCATTATGAATGATACATTCTTCATGATGAATAACCCATGAAAAAAGGAGACACGTGCCACGCTCCTTTGTCCCTCGGTTCACAACAGATGCTCGGTTTTCAATTGAATCCGTCCATATATATATAGACAACAACATATCATAGTTGGATTAGAAACGAGTAGTATCATCCCGACCATGTCCTGAGCCCTCTTTGGGTATAAAATCTCTAATGAGCCTCTGTCCCGCCTCATTAGAGGCGAGTACGTGCACATCAAATTTTCATATCTAGTTTAACATCAATTTGACCTGGTCTCATTATGTCGGAAAGCTGAATCATTTAAGATTTATACAGTTTTAGATTAATTAATAAATAATTTGAAACTACAGATTCCAATATCATCAATAAAAAATAAACGTGCAATGCCACATCGATTACTTGTACGGTACAAGTATGAAGCATCATTCGAGATGGAAAAAGAACTTAGATTAACATACATTTTTGGTCCCTGTGGTTTGTTGAAAACTGTTATTTTCATCCATCTATTTTTGTAATCACACTATCCCTTGTTTTGTTTTTATATGATTTACAATGTATTTTTGTTTTCATCCTCCCTACTTAATGATAAAAGTTAGCCTCAGAGATGAAAACTACAATTTCAAAACTACATGGATGAAAAGAGAAATTTTGACAAACTATAGGGACTAAAAGTGTATTTTATTAAAAAATACTTATTTTTACGACAAAAAGAAAAGTTAAAAAAAATATCACTTTCATTACTTGCACATAGATTTCTTCTCCTATTAAATAATGCCGAAGAGCCTGCAAAACTACACTCACGAAACGACGACGTTCCTCCATTTTGCCGGCCATCAACCTCCTTTTATAACTTCACCAAGATCCTAGTGATTTCACCCAAGTTTCCGACTCCGAAACCCCGATCACGGTGCACGATAGCGTGCTCGCACACATCGAGCGATGGATCAACGACGATTCAGTAAAAGCGTTGCAAACGAGAATCTTCAGAAGAAACTAGTTGAGAACAGACGAAAAGGGAGCCGAGGGCAGGAACAAGTCCCTGACATTGCGGATTTCATGAACGATATGTTTTTTGGAGTGGTAAAAAACGAGAAAAAGGTTTATAATCTTAGTGGCGGTGGCGGGGATGTGATCGACGAGGATGATGATTTTGATTCGAGCACCCGAAGTACGAGTAGTCGGTTGACTCAAGAATGGTTGGAAGAGGCGAAACGGCTGGTGGCTTCTTCGCCTGACCGTGGTTCTTCACGAGCCGAGGGGAATTCTCCTTCTCGGCTGGTGGGGTCGCCCAGGTTTGGCGTGTCTAGGCCTAGACTGTCGACTTCTTCCGTAACAGAAAGAGATCCTCTTTCTCGAACTGCTAGAAGGTACTTTATATGTTGTCATATTTTATTATATTAAGGTGGCGTTTTTTTTAACTGGTGCTGAAATTTGAAGTCTTATTTCACTTCTGATTGATAACAGATTGTGCCAAAGTCTGAAATCTGAATCAATAAGATTGTTTCTTTTTGTTTAACTGTTAAATGTCTAAATTTGTTTAAAATTGCCTATTTACCTATTAGAAAACTACAGTGTTGAATTTATAGATAAGTTTATACAATTTCACATATTTATTCATCATTGTTATGAAATTTACATCTAAATTATGTTTTTCTACAAAAAAAACATTTATCAACTTATTATAAGTTAGAAGAGTTTAACTTTTTCAAAAACTCTTTATTATCGGTTTTACACCGATATAAGTTATTCATCCAAACACTAAAAATGATTATTACCGATATCACACCAAATCAGTTGTTTTTATAGGCAATACCAAATATATTTTGTACGGAATATCAACTAAACTGTTGGATGTGGGTTTAAACTGGAAATACAGAAACAGGTCGGTGGATGGGTTCACCGGAGAAATCTTGACGAAATCGGCGAAGCATAGTCACAGCCGTAATAATTCTCAGACGACGGTGGACTCTATTTCAAACTCTTCTCCTCAACCCACCGACGTTTCCCCTGCCTCCGCCGTCCAGAAATGGTTCTCCAACATCCTCAAACCACCCACCGCCGGCGATCCTACTCCACCCGCCACCGCCGCTACAACGTCTCCAGACATGATCCCACCTCGAGCATCGACCCACCGCCGCTCCCGCTTCGAAAACCAGTCCTCTCCACCACTACCACCAATATCACCCTCTGCCACCACCACCACAACCACCACCGCGGCGGCGGACCCATCTGCATTTGTCCCACCTCGATTATCCACCCACCGCAGATCCCGATTTCAGAACGATCCAAATGCTGCTCAACCCCAACTAATACCAAGTAAAAGAACCATTAAGACCACCGCCACTACAACTCCGGCGGACACCCAAATCCTATCTCCGCCGAAGCACCTCCTTGAATCAGCTCAACGGAGATCAATATCATCCTCGACATGCTCTCTCAATAACCAAATCCTTTCGCCGCCTAGAAATCTAGTTGAATCCGCTCAAAGAAGATCGATCTCTTCGTCTACTTGCTTCACAGACAAAATTTCGAGAAAACCTAGCCCAATACGTGGCGAATTGAAGGATTCAGAATTAGGTCAACAGGATCTTAATGGGTTTTTGAACAATCAAAGAATCAAAATCTTAAAGCTATTGAAAGGGGAAATCAAAGGAAAAGCAAAGATCGTGCTCTCTGGACATTCAAACAGTACATTTCAGTTTTCAAGATTTCAATATCACTTCAAATTTTCAAGAATTACTATTTCATTTCTGGTTTGGGGATGAAACTGTGCAGGTACAAGTTCAATGGTGGCGGCGATTTGCTACGCGTGGTTGGTGGACACTCGAATGAGAATTAAAAGAAATGGGGTGGTTGATGGCGATGGCTCCACCATGGAACTGGTGGTGCCGGTGTTGAATGTGAGAAGGGGAAAGATGTGGAAGCAGCGGCAAGCCGCCTGGCTCTTCCATCATGCCGGTGTCGATGCCACCTCCATCCTTTTCTCCAATGAGGTTGGTGTTTAAGTCTCATTTACTTTGGTAAATTACTAAACTACCCTTGTCAAATTATTACCCGCGAACTTCACTTTCATATGTCATCCAGTCCTCTCATGTCATGTCCATTGCTGTTAAAGTTGTGTCTGTATACCAAAAGCACCTAAGGCCTGCTTTCATCATGCCCTATGCCCCTAGCCCTTACATCTGAGTGGGATATACTGGTTTGGTTTGGTTTGGTTTATGCGTATCGAATGTTCCATTGATTTGATGTATGATTGGTTTGTATGTTGCTTCTTATCGATACCAGATAGAATTGGAGATCTTAATGATGAACAAGCAGTTGAGCATTCTTGTAGTTGGGCAAGAAATCCTCAAGACTGATGGCGAGGTTCGTACGGAAGACTTCTAATCTATTTATCCATGTCAATTTCGTATTTCATTTGTAATCTCACATCAACTAGATACGGTCCATCAAACCTATATATATAGAGAGAGAGAGTCAGGTTCAAACGAGAACAGTAGCTATTTAAGAGAATAAGAAAACGGCTTAATCACATGTGATTTTACACTGACATCACATGCAAAATCACATGTGATTCACGCGACTTTACACCTAGACCTGAAGTTGCATGCCAAAGTCGCCTGCACCCCCTTTTTGACCGTTAATGTAAATCACATGTGATTTTGCACGTGATTTGGCCGTTTTCGTATTCTCTTAAATAGTTAGCATTTACGTTTGATCGCTCCTATATATATACATATATATATATATACTAGAAGCGTACTCGCGCAATGCAGCGAGATACATCGTGTGTTTAATATTTCATTTTATTCTTTATCTCAGTCGATATTATAATATGGATTTATGTGATTTTGAGAAAGCGGTAATGTTTTTATTTTTGAATAAAATATATGTTTGACGATATCATAAAAATTTGACAAAAATATATCGATATTAG